CCCTCTCTGCCTCCTATACGCATATGTGTTCTATTCGAATAATATGCATATGAATTCTATTTCAATTTCACGAAGAGAAAATTGTTGTATTCGAATATAACCTTTTTTTTTTTTTTCCCGAAGGTCAACGCTTGCTCCGTTTTTGCCTTGGTGAATGGGGCAGGCCCATGCAGGCCCATAATCACAGATCACTGCCCGTGCTCTCTCTCTCTCTCTCTCTCTCTCTCTCTCTCTCTCTCTCTCTCTCTCTCTCTTTGTGCCCCCTATGCTCTTCTTCAGGCAAGAAACTGCCCTCTTGGTCACTGAGATGCATTGCAGGGCTCTCTCTCCCCCCCTCCCCCCCACCCCTCTCTCTCTCCCTCTCTTTCTCTCTCTCTCCCCATGTGTGAAGGCGCTTTTGACAGCCAAAAAAGTGGCGCTTCTGACAACCAAGAATTTGGCACGGCCAAGAAAGTGGGGCGGCAAAAAAAGTGGCACGACAAAAAAAGTTGAAAAATAAAAAAGCCACTCACCAAGGTCTTGCTCCAGACAAAAAAAAAGGGTTGTATTTGTCTAGGGTCTAGTGGAAGACTCATTCGCATTTTGCACATTTGCCGATGAGTGGAGCAAGTGACCAAGTAGGGGAAATGAATGAAACTCAACCCAGGACTTGGAAAGGACAGGCGGTTAACGGAGACCCAAAATTTCAGCGTTTTTTTAATGCTATTTATAAGAAATCCAGAAACCCTTCATAACAAACCATGAAAAAAAAACGAAAAACTAAATAAAAACAGGGTGAAACAATAAGGGAAAAATGCACTTGAATGACATTTAGGATTCAACGAATTTTCATTATTTTCAGCGTTTTTGGAAATGGTCTTATTAGAGGAAATTCTGATGCTCCAAATGAGACCGAATTTGGTACACAACAACCTTGAAGTAAGACAAAAACAAGAAAAAACAAAACACATAAATTTCACACCCAAACCCTAATTTCAGTTTTTGACCTGTTACTCAGGAGTTGAAACTGGGGGTCGTTAACCACGTGTGATGGAAAGGTACGTCGTTACTTTACTTCGACCATTTTGTCAAGGCTCTGAGGCCCCCTGCCGTGGTCCAGAACTGAGCCTACTCAGCCCGGACCCGACCCCCTTGTGCAAACAAAGTTGGTCTCGTTCACTCAAACATGACGCATATGCGTTGTAAGCGAATACAACGCACAATATGTGTTGTATTCGTTTACAACTCATATGCCTTATGTTCGGGGGAAGATGGTAAAGAGAGGCGCCTCATCTTGACTTAATTACCTTCCAACACATACGTAACACAACACTCACATAATAAGTCAGATAGCGTTGTGGCTGTGTTAGATACTAACACGACTTACTTCAATAATGAACACGGCCAACAATGCTGATGCCGCCTCACTCAACCTAAGCGGCATCAATCTATCAGACTTGCAAAGTATTGTCTAATAATTTAAAATACCAAAGTCAAAAGGTGCTCACGAATGGCATGTGGCTGATTGAGCAACCTCCCTCCCTCCCTCCCTCCCTCCCTCCCTCTCTCTCTCTCTCTCTCTCTCTCTCTCTCTCTCTCTCTCTCTCTCTCTCTCTCTCGGCCTTCTGCGCCGCTGCTTGCCAAAACACGCATCCCAGAGGCAGACCGCCGCGGCCCCAAACATTGCCGCGTTGACCAGCGCGGACTACGAAGGGGCTGGGTTGTTGGCCGTGCGACCAAGGAAGCGGCTGCGCGGCGGTGGCTGCGCTACGCAAGAATTGTGCGCCGCCGTGCACCGCCACCGACCTCCGTTTCTCACTCTTTCTCTCTCTCTCTCTCTATTTCTCCCTCTCTCTCTCTCTCTCTCTCTCTCTCTCTTTCTCTCTCTCTCTCTCTCTCACTCTCTCTGTCTCTCTCTGTCTCTCTCCCTCCACATGGCCACTCGAATGCGGCCGCTCTCTCTCTCTCTCTCTCTCTCTCTCTCTCTCTCTCTCTCTGGGGGAACTCTGTTAATGAACACGCCCTCCAGCCACACACACTCACACACACACAAACACACACACACACGCACACACACGCACACACACACACACACACTCTCTCTCTCACACGCCCACACACACACACACTCTCTCTCACACGCACACACACACAGACCTCTCTCTCTCTCTCTCTCTCTCTCTCTCTCTCTCTCTCTCTCTCTCTCTCTCTCTCTCTAGCTCTCTCTCTCCACACTCAATTCATGTGCGCAGGATCATTTTTCCTCCTCATTTCTTAACAGTGCCATTCTTCAATTTGTGCATGACATGTTTCCTCAGCAGTGGTGCCATTCTTCCTCTGTATCGTTGCTTTGTTTAACTCGTGGCATGAGGGATGGGACAAGCTGGAGGGTTGGGGGGAAGGGGGAACACTTAAAACTGAGCACATATGAGATAAATGATGTACTTCACACAGAGAGAGAGAGAGAGAGTTTCAAGGGGGAATACTTACTGCGAGCATACATTAGATAAATGGATAAACTCACTTCTTCATTCGTGTGTACTTCACAGATAGAGAGAGAGAGAGAGAGAGAGTACCAAGACAAGTCAGAGAGTAGCCGTAGCACCATTGGAGTGTATTAGGAAACAAACTGTTCAACTGTCTCATATACACTCTACAGATGAGCACAAATCATGCGACTCACCTGCCCTTCGTCTTCGCAGCCATGCGACCTGTGTTCTGAGCAAAATGAGCGAAAATCTCTGTTTGCTGCAGGAGGAACTTGAGACGGTGCTTCCTCTTATCCTGAAAACACAAACGACGACAGTAATACGATAACAGAAACAGTTAGATTTTGAACGGAAGGAAGAGATCAAAACCTGGCAGGATTACACAAGTTGGTCTCCTCCTCCCTTTTAGGAAGAGCACACTCACACCAGGACTTTCGCAGGTGTCGCCAACGATAATCACAGTCAAATTAACGATGAAGCCAAACTTCTTCCCAACAACTCCTCCCTTCGAAAAAGTCCTAGCGTGAGTATCGATGAATTGCAATGTCAGAATCTCTACCAGGATATGAAAAATAATCAAGTACAAAAAGTCTTTCAAGGAGACGGGACAAGGCCAGCCCAGCACGGCTCAAGACATTGGAATTCATTGGCTCTATTTCGGTGAAGGTGGTTGTAAAATTTCCGACTATCTTCTTTGATTAACTTGCTATTAGATTTCTGATCAAATCTTTAACTAGAAAAAGACGTCAATGTCAATCAAGACACCTGTGGATCCTCTATTTGGTACCTGCGGATCATGTGGAGGTACCATGTAAGGGGTACCTGCGGACCATGTGGAGAGTAGCCGAGGATAATCTAAAGGGCAACTTTTCCGCATTCTCATTGGCTCCAGTAATTGACAAAACCTCGTTGCATGCTGGGATGGAAAAAATATGCCGAAGGAACTGGTGGTCCCAACCTGTATCCACACCAATTTACAACCCTACGGAGGGTAGCCGAGGATAATCTAAGGGGTAACGGGATAAGTCTGAAGGAAAGCATTTTCACGCAGGAATAGCGTTGTGCCGGGGCTCATAACGACATGGCTTTTCTTGACGCGTTAATGTGTTTTATGTTTGTGATTTCGTTTGACGGTGACGATCAGGGTCACCGGCCCGTACGTACGAAGGTCCCCGGGCAGACCTCCGTACGTACGGGCGTTCGGGGTCCCGTACGGGGTACCCGACGGCATTCGGCCCCCGCCAAAAATTATTTCGGGGCCTAAAAATAATTATTTTTTACTGAATTTTTTTTGTGAGTTCTCTATGACGTGAGGTACATGCCTGTAAATTTTCAAGTCATTTGGCTAAGCCAAATAAGAATTAAAACTCGCCAAAGATGGGGGTGTCAAAACGTGTTCGCCCACGTATTTTTTCACTTTTTACTTTTTGTTTTCACTTTAGTTCGGGGTCTAAACAATTTTATTTTTTTTGAAACTTTTTAAGTGGGTTTTGTATTATGTGAAGTACACATCTGTAAATTTTCAGGGCATTTAGCTATGCCAAAAAAAAATGAAAAATCGCCAAAGATGGCGGTGTCGAAAACATGCTCCCGCACTCACTAAATTTAATTCTCTTTTTATTTTTATTTATTTTTATTATTAGTATTTGTTTTCCGTATTTTATTTTTATTTCAAATTTGGTAAGTATTCAGATGTAATGCTCAGGCAAACCTTGTTTAATTTATTTTTCTCCATAACATATCTTTTTTTCAGATT